TTCCATTATCACGGATTTTAATTGTAAATTAAAACACGTGCCATTATATCCAATTATTATCAAGCTACCATCGCCAAATTAACCATCTGCTATTTATATCGTCCGTGTTTCGCTCTTTCTCTATAATTATTGTGAGCATTTAGACTGTGCCATTGTATACACTCAAGTGTTGGGATATTTTGTTCCTGAAGTGTTAATATATAGCCAATTCGATTATTTTGGCACGCAATATCTAATTTTTTCTTACCTGAGAAAGATCGCGAAGTTCATTCTCTGAACGTATTGTATTTTTGTTCTTTTTTCTCAATAAGTGAATAATTATTATCATCTCAAATTGAAACTGAACATTTTTGTAAGCCTAGTTCATACCATATATCTACTTACGCATATCTGTTTCATGTCAGTATGCACTATGTACATATCTTTTTTTGTTTTCTTTTTCTGTAAACTTATAAATCAACATCATCTATACTCATCTTATTTTCTAATAGCTTCTTTTTGTAACATTCGGATTGGTTTACATGGCATTTATGTTTTTTTTCACTTTTGTATATGTATGCATGATCGTGTTTTACATGTTCTTGCTATCATTGTCAACAGTTTCATAGATATTTACAAACTCCCTATTACGATCGTGCATACTCTTCTTTCGTGTTCATGGATCAAACTTTCACAAACATATTTCACCCTACCACATATCAAAATATCCTTTATAAGGTAGTTAGTATATTTTCTACTTATACTATTGTTAATTGCCGGTGATGTTCATCCGAATCCTGGCCATCAACAAATTCAGACAGCTCATTTGCATCTATTTCTTCTACTAGTACAACTACACTATCAGAATTAATGAAAACTTCAAGTTGTCTCTCTTTTTTACACTACAATGTACAAAGCCTCATAAGTAAAATTGATATCTTGGAAGCAGAATTTGGTATGTTTGATATTCTGGCGTTCACTGAAACATGGTTAAACTCTAACATTTCACAAACTGAAACAAACATTCAATCCTTTCATACTCCAGAAAGAAAAGATAGGTTTGAAAACAACTATGAGAGTGTAATTTTGTATGTGAAGGAAACCTTCACTATAACGGAGGTTAGACCTCGAACCCAGAGGACTAGAATGTATTTGGATTGAAATCATGCACGTCTCATTCAAACGTATCCTATTTGCTGTCTTTTACCGTCCCCCCAACTCAGATACTTCCTATACTAATCTAATTGAAGAATCTATCGGCCTAGCCATTGATACTGGTATATCAGACATTATTGTAACTGGCGACTTTAATTTTAATGAAACGAATCCACAAATGACCCGAACATTAAACTCTATCTGCCAGCAATTTAATCTTGAGCAAATTATTTCTGAGCCTACGCACTATACAGAGTCATCTTCTTCTATACTTGACCTCATCTTAGTATCTTGTAGTCAAAATGAATTAAAGTCTGGGGTAGGTGAACCAGTTCTAGACCAGAATTTAAGGTTTCATTGTCCTATTTATGCCTTTCTTAAGTTTTCAAAACCTTGTGTTAAGTCTTTCAAGCGTCTTGTATGGCTATATGACAAAGGTGACTATAATTTACTTAGAGATAAAATTTCTGCTACAGATTGGGATCAATTTAAGGACAACGATATCAACAACTACGCTTCCTTATTTACAAACAATATATTTAAACTTGCAAAGCAATGTATTCCAACACGAAACATAAATGTAAAACCAAATGATAAACCATGGATATCGTCACACATTAAAAAGAAAATTACTAAACGCAAAAAATATTACCATAGAGCCAAATTAACACAAAATCCCATTCACTGGCATAAATTTAAAACATTACGAAATGAAGTAGTATCTCTGATTCACACTGCAAAGCAAAACTATTTTCTAAAAAATGGCTGATACACTAAAATGAGAAACTCTAACACCAAAAGACTGGTGGAAACTCTTTAAAGATTTCATCTATCCGCCTGAAAAACAAACTATTCATCCTCTATTAAATTCTGCTACATGTGAACTTGTTTTGATTCATTTTCGAAAGCAAATACTCTGAATGAATTCCTTTTTTTGCACAATCTTTAACAACTAAACACACTGGTCTTCCTAGAAACCGTTGCCAATCTCCAGGAAACAACTAGAAACGTGTTACATATCCCCTCAAAATGTGGAAGACGCTCTAGGATCTTTGAAAACAAACAAAGCTTCAGGACCAGATGGAATCAGTAAAAGAATACTACGAGAAACAACATCTGTTCTTAAACGTTATCTTTGTTCTCTAATCAATCAATCTCTTCAATGTAGTACGGTACCCCTTATGTAGAAATATACAAATGTAGGTCCAGTCTTTAAGAAATGTGATCCCTCATTACCGAACTATTATCGACCAATATCTTTACTTTATTGTACAGAAAAGGTCCTTGAGCGTATTATATTTTAGTATGTTTTTAACTTTTTTCGTGATAACAAATTTCTTTCTTCTGTACAGTCTGGCTTTACACCAGGAGACTCAACAGTTAATCAGCTTACTTATTTATACAACACCTTTTGTAAGGCTCTCGATGATGGATTAGAAGTAAGAACAGTATTCTTTGATATAAGTAAAGCTTTCGACAAGGTATGGCATGATGGTCTTCTCTATAAATTAAAAAATGCTGGATTAAATGGAAAATTGCTGAACTGGTTCTCTGATTATCTTTCTAACAGACGTCAATGTGTCGTTCTTCCAGGAGCTCATTCTAATTGGTCAACTGTAAATGCAGGAGTTCCTCAAGGATCTATTCTTGGGCCTCTGTTGTTCCTGGTATACATTAATGATATTGTTGACGATTTAAACTCAAGTATACACCTCTTTGCCGATGATACTAGTTTGCACATAATAGTTGACTATCCAATAGCTGCCGCGACAACTCTTCAATCTGATATTGATAAAATTTCAAGTTGGGCTGATAAATGGCTTGTAACATTCAACCCTTCTAAATCGGAAACTATATGATCATGTCACGCAAAACAAATAAGCCTTATCATCCGCCACTTCTAATGCATGATCAGCCTATCTCCTCAGTAAATAGTCATAAACATCTTGGTCTTTACTTTTCTGATGATTGCTCTTGGCATGTACATATTAATTCTATCAAAGAGAAGGCTTGGAAAAGAATTCATATCATGAGAAAACTTAAATTTACACTAGACAGAAGATCACTAGAAGTTATATATCTATCATTCATAAGACCTCTCATTGAATATGCAGATGTAGTCTGGATCAACTGTACACAATATGAAAAACTTGAACTTGATAAAATTCAACATGAAGCCGCCCGTATAGTCTCAGGGGCCACTAAACTTGTATCTCTTCAGGAACTTCAAAGAGAAGTTCTTTGGGAATCGCTCGAAAGCCGTAGACAGAATCACAAACTTATTTTGTTTTACAAAATGAAAAACGGTCTCACACCAGATTATTTATCGTCCTTAGTTCCACCATCAGTTGGAGAAACGTCTATGTACAATTTACGAAATGCTTCTGACATGCAAACAATACGTACAAGAACTTCTCTTACCATAATGCATTTCTGCCATCTACTTTGAGAGATTGGAACTTACTATCAACAGAGGTACAAAACTCAATATCTTTGTCCTCTTTTAAAACGCAACTTAAAGGTAATATAAAAAAATGCCCCAAATACTATTATATAGGTGAAAGAAAATGGCAAGTCATGCATACACGGCTCCGTACAGAATGTAGCTCTTTAAACCATCACTTATTCAGAAAAAATATGTCCCCCTCACCAAATTGTCAATGTGGTCTCCTGGAAAGTAACCACCACTTCTTCTTTGAGTGTCACTTCTATAATGATATCAGACTCAGACTATTTGATGCTGTTTCTAATATTTGTACTATAACACTTCATACCTTACTAAATGGAGACCAGAATCTTAGCCATGACATTAATTCTAAAATTGTTCAAGCAGTTCATGTATATATACGTGAAAGTAACCGATTTTCATGAGCAAATAATATGCCAACTTGACCTATCCGAATGAATCTTCTTTACCTTCTTTCTTATTCTTTTCAATTATTTATATTCTTTAAAAAAAGATCTTTTGAACAATAGATAAAATCTTCGATTTTTTTCGTTTTCAAATATGTTAAAAATTAACTTCATTGTTTCAAACAATATTGCAAACACTGTCATAATTTAACTGCATTGTGCAAATATGTAGGAGAAGACCTTTATAAGCTTTATAGCTTTCGGCTCTAATCCTTTTTCATTCGTGTATCTACTTATTGTAAATGTATTAACAATATGTACTGTATCATTGTTTGAAAACAACTATGTTTAAACTAATAATATTCTACTTTAAACATGATTTTAACATGAATTTACATCTTGCGACATTTAACGGTAGTGTTGCGACATTTAACGGTAAGGGAAATTCGTCCGACATTTAACGTTAACGTTAACATTGCGACATTTAACGGCAAATGATTTTGCGACATTTAGCGGAGGTTGCGACATTTAGCGTCAATGGTGCGACATTTAGCGGCAAGTGCGACATTTAGCGGCGTTGCGACATATAACGGCGCCACATACACTTTAAAAAAAACTCGATGAAATCAATAAATGTAATTTTAATGCCGTAAAACACAATACAAATCGAGACAAAAACACTGTTTCTAAGTTGCTTCATATCCGTGTAAACAATTATGCAAGCACTTGGCCATTGATTTCTATTAAAATATACTGCAAAAACAAAGAAAGAGTAGGTCTAAACATATGACAATAGATGATTAAGCCACAAACCTCTCACAATCACTTGTGCTATAACGGATTAACAATGACCTTTCATTTAGCTGGTGTGACTTTAAAAACATAAGTTTTATACTCCATATTAATTTTCGAAAACTATACTGACAAAGCCGAAGTAGGATCGAATATTTTTATGAGCGCATTAATAAATGTGACAGGTGATAAAATCAGACTATAAGAAGAATGTATAAAGTGAACGCACATAATTTCCTACAAGATCTGGATGGTCTGGTTCAACACCGTCATCAAGGATGCTAATATGTATTCCTGCGCCTGAGTAGCCACGCCTCCAAGATTCGTAAATCTTCATGCTGGGAAATGTGTCCTCTTGCTATAACATAATCATTTCTTATTGTATATATTTATAATATAAAATGTCACTTACTTATCTTGTGTTTGTCACTTCCATTGTTTTGTTTTTATAATTATATTTGTATGTAAAATAAATGCTGCTGAAGAAGGCCGCAAGGCCGAAAGCTACGGCAAATTTAAATTAGCATTTTTGATTATAATTATACTGCAAGTTAGAGATTTTTGATATATGATGAAGGTTTAGTCCCTTATAAAAGCAGCTTGTTTTATACAGAATTTATTTGAATTCGATTGTGTAGAAAGCTATAAGCTTATAGACACTTTTGAATCCGTTCCTGGAACCAACCAGTACTGAGCAATGACTGTAAAGTTTCTTACTCAAGGAAAAAACGACTTTCCCCGAATGGGGTTTGAACAAATGCGGCTAGCGATTATTAGATTACTAGTCCGATGCGTTAACCACTCGGCCATGTAACACCGCACTTTGGGGTCAAACACACTTTGGGGTTCGACCCCAAAGTGCGTTACGTACTTTGGGGTCCGACCCCATAGTGCGTTACGCACTTTGGGGTCCAATTTCGACCCCAAAGTGCGTTCAACAGCTACATATACATTTTTTAACATCAGGCAAATGACCGCACTTTGGGGGTTATAGAGAATGAATGTTCATTATGTTTTAAATAATATATTGTAGTCAAAGCCAATGGTAAACAAAAAATCAGGGTATTAAATAGACGCAAAACATGTGCCCTAAATTATATAGAGGATATTTGTTTGTTTGTGTGTAAGATGAAATTTTATTTCATCGAGTGGGCTTTAAAAACAGTATTCTCACGAGTGGCTTAGCCACGAGTGAGAATACTGTTTTTAAAGTTCACGAGATGAAATGAAATTAAATCTTACACAACAAACAAACAAATTTTCTTTTTATTTTATGCTAAAAAACAAGTTAAAACGAAATTTCCATAATATTAACGTAAATATTAAAATCTGTTTTCCCCATTGAGAGCCCCATTTAGTCGGAATTTCTCATTAAAAACAAGAAGTCTTGAGCTGTAAAATAAGTCCGACAATCAACGTTAAATGACAGTGATATTATTTATTTTGTTAAAAAAATATGAATGATCGCTTGTTTTAATAATAAAAACAAACAATTCTTGCAGGAGAAAAATTCCAACCATCCATCCATATTTCTGTTACTTACTGCGTATTTATATTAGACCTGGCTTTGTTAAATGTAAGCGGCAGCCATTTTTTAAAGTTGTGTATTTCATGGGAGGAAAATAATTGTGTTTGATTCAGAGGAATATCATTTGGATTTGTTAGTCATACACCTTTTTAAAAGAAAGAAAACATATTTGAGGATTGAAACAGACAAAAAATAAGTGTTGACAGATGTGAAAACATGAAAAAAAGCAGCTATGAAAATGGAAAACTTGGAACTTGCTCGGAACGCTGGGTGGTTTAATTGTTCTACGAGGTGATAGCTGTCGTTGCTTTTCAATTTTTCATAAAGCATACGGCAGTTATTGCTCGTAGGATACTTTAATGTGCCCAAATGTCATCAAGAGCAGTTTGCATGTGGAAGGAATGTATTTGTCAGACTGTAAAAATGAAACAAAAAATTTAGAGATGAAATTTGGTGATTGGAATTTGAATGAATAGAAGTAAGTTTTCTTCTTTTTATTACTTTTGACATTTAAGTTGATTATCAACTTCAGCTTTGCGTTTTCTTTAAACAGCCTGACATTGTCAGAATTGTTAGCAAAAATAAAATTGAGGTACCACATGGGAAAAATCTAAAGAAAGTAGTTTCGTCATTGAAAAGTGTGAAATTATATTTTGATAATTTTCACTGTAAAATTATCAAATATAATTTTCACGGATAAATCAGTAATCCACTGAAAAGCATAAAATAAAGTAGAATCAATAGGGATTTAAATAGTCTTGATTAGTAAGTGAAGAACTTTCATCATAAAAGAATTTGTATCAATTATTAAGCTTAAAATATTTTTTTCTCAAATTTTCCATTTATTTTAAAAGAATGTACACCTTTCATTAACTCCATTGTTTTTAGCTAAATGCATTATTTTCCCGTTTTTTATTTACACATTTTATAGAAATATGATAGTTTTTGCATAGACAAAGGTATAAATTCTGTGTAATCTTAGTAAGACATTTCAGTAACAAATATGTGTCTGATTATATGTTGAAAGAGCCATTTATTTAGCTAAATTTGACATATAAGAAACTTGACTAGGTGTAGATTCGGCTTTCAGTAGTAGTCTGCAAGGGCAGTACTAAAAATATCAACTATTTAAGTAGTCGCACATTAAGAGCGGAGCTTCAGAATAATGTAAAATTCTCAGTGGGGGTATAGAGGGGATTGTCGGGTATCGATCCCCCCGAGGGTTAAAAAAAACATTTTAAAGGTCCATTATGCTTTTTTTGTTTTTCTTAAAAGCTTTTTTATTTTAATGTTCTTCTATATTATCCAAAAAATACACATTGGCCAATTACCTGAACCATCTTTTTCATCTGTTGCTTTTTGGCAATGATGAGTACAGTTATAGTGAATTAGTATTTTATATGGAAGTCAAATACTACATTGTTTTGACTACTTTTATGACAAATAATTTCTCATTTATCGCTACTTTATTCAGGTAACAAGCATCTGACATTTATCTGATACCATTATTTAAAATTATAAAATTCATGTTTGCTCTTTCTAAAGAAGTATGTAAGATTTCCCATAAAAAAGCCTCTGGCGAACGGTTGTTGCGGAGCTTACAAAAACCCTTAAATTTGTTGATAAGCTTAAAAATGTATTTGTAAAAATCACTATTTATAGTCCGATTGAAAAACTTGATGTTTCAACAGGACATTGCAATAGAGTATACTTATAGTTCTTTGGAAAAAAATATTAACTGCATTTTATTTCATTCCCAACATATTTAAAATGGGGCTCAATATGACACCAAAAGTTATCAAATAAATGACTGACAGAACGGGATATTTTTCGTAGCATCTTTTTATTTTAGGGATACACAATTTCTGTACTTGATTTTTTGAACGGTGGCATAAAAGTGACATTTGCATTTTTTGGATACTTTTTTTTTTCGTACATATTTTTTTTGTATGTCGTACATATTTTTTTTAGTTTTGAATACATACTTTTTTTAGTTTTGCATACGTATTCTTTTTTAGTTTGCATACATATTCTATTTTAGGTTTTTGTACATATTTTATTTTAGTTTTTTGTACATATTTTATTTTGTTTTTTCGTACATATTTGTACATGACGCCATTTGTAAAGTAGAGGTTTGGATAATTACGCCATTTGTGATACACCATTTTCAAACACTTCGCCATCTGGTAATTACAGTACCCCATTTGCAAATGCACCAACGTTTTCATTTTTGGAGGTATCAAAAAAAATTACAACACTTTTTAGTATAAATATATTCTGCATATGGTCTCGATGTGGTTAACATTTGACACAAGGTGCCTTAAAATCCTTCATGGGGTTTAGGAGAATGAAACCCAACTCTTAATCCTTTGATCTGTAGGTGTGACCCCGACCTTGAGCCGGCACACCTGGCATATAAGTTCTGCACATTATCTGGATGTGCTAAAGAATTAAACCATAAAGTATTGACCGCCATCTTGAACTCCACGTCAAATATTTCAATGTCGCAGATCGAAAATAAGTCAGTACTCAGTCAGTATTTAAGCAGAACTCAGATGACACCTTTAGACCTCTTGAACCCAAAGTGCGTTGATATGTAGCATATTAACGCACTTTGGGGTCAATTTCTCGATTTTGACCCCAAAGTGCGTTGGACCCCAAAGTGCGGTGCGAAGTTTAACGCACTTTGGGGTCGGACCCCAAAGTGCGTTTGACCCCAAAGTGCGGTGTTACACGGCCATTCCCCCCACATTTTCTCAAAAGCAGCTTGTAAACTCTTATTTCAAGGCATGAAGTTAAAAAAACAACCTAACTTAGAATTTATTTTTCAAATGTACAACTAACGTAATTTAGTAATACATCAGAAGCGGGAAGTAATAACGATGGTCAAGTTTATTTGAACGATTTCCTAACCAAAAATCATACCAATGTTATATATAGAGAATTAAACAATATACCACATGCCACATCAGAGACCAGGCACTGTCTGTTATGTTTTCAGATGCTGGGAATGATGACCTCGGTTTACGGATTAAATATTTCATCTGCTCCAAAGACTCAACCTGCAAAATTAGATACGGGTATTAAGAATAAAACGACAAAAAGAAAAAACAAAAGAGAAAACAAACAACACCAACAACAAAATCTGATATGATTTCCAACTATAATATTATTTGTCTTAATACGTATTTCTAATACCTTCATAAAATTTGTAAAAAAATAGATAAAAAAAGAAAATAAATACATAGATAAATAAATAAAAATGAATGAATGAATGAATGAATGAATGAATGAATGAATGAATGAATGAATGAATGAATGAATGAATGAATGAAAAAGAAAATAAATACATAGATAAATAAATAAAAATGAATGAATAAATAAATAAATAAATAAATAAATAAATAAATAAATAAATAAATAAATAAGTAAATAAATAAATAAATAAGTAAATAAATAAATAAATAATTAAATAAATAAATAAATAAATAAATAAATGAGATTAGTACATACCTGCAATGATTTAGATAAGGCAGCTATAGATAAATTTTGCTCTTCCAATAAATTGTCATTATCTGTTTTTCTTAAAACAAAATAGCCGTTGTTCACCTGGAAATAAAAAGAACCCAATATGAACAATATCAATCATTTAAAAATGAATGTTCAATGTAAAGATTTTCTCTATAAATGACCATAACTAATTTTAAAAATGTATAATGATATATATTTATATATTTTGACAATACAATGTGAAAAACTTTTCCTTAAATTTTGTATTTTGTTTGTAATTTATAAGAAAGTAGTCCGGCAAAACACCAGTGAAAATACGAAAAATATGTTTCATTGCAGTGAAAAATATTTTTTTTTACAGTGAAAGTATGCATTTTATTTCATCAATATTTCTCAATATTTCATTTATAAGTATATAATAAATGTTTTTACACAACAAATGAATTGTACGGAACTTACATTATTTTTTTCGTTTTTTGTTTGTTTGTTTCTGTTTGTTGTTGTCTTTTTTGTCAATATCATTATTCATTATTTATTTACATGTCTTTACTACTGATACATCAAAACAATATTATTATTTATCATGTAAATGTTCGAACTAAATCACTCACAAACTAATCAACGTTTTTTTTTTTCAAACAATGGTTTATAACAATATCCAAATAATGCGTTTTTATTGCTTTTATCTTAAAATAGTGAGAAACGAAGAATCCCTAAAGAACGCACAAAACGTCAGAATTGAAAATGTTGCAGGCTCGGTTTGATTGAGCCTGTTCATGGACGGTACTGTAAAGTGCAAACTACCGTCCACGCCCCCTAGCACCGGCTTAAGCAGAATTGAACATTACATCATGGTTATGGTGAAATTTTGAATTTAGATACATCCGCAGATGTGTTCATATGGTGGTTATCATGGAACCTTCAATGTGCCGCGTTAGTGCCATTCAATGAAAAGAGGCGTTGAAAGAAAATGTTCCTTTTGAAGTCTTATATAACATATATAGAGATAACATGAAAATAACATTCATGTATCATCGTTTGTCAACATATACAGTGTACACTTAGAAAAATAGTCATTATAATAAAATAGTTATGCACATATTAACGTATATAGACCCTTGATGGGCACGAAATGTTTGAAAGTCAATCAATTTAATAAATAATAGAAAATAAAACCTCTGCAATGATCTA